TCTAATTCTTCCTTGTTCAGTCTTGGAAAATTGTACCTTTCCAAGAATGTGTCTATTTCTTCATGGTTGTCCATTTTACTGGCATATAGTTGTTTGTAGTAGTCTCTTATAATCCTTTGTATTTCTGCAGTGTCAGTTGTGATTTCTCCTTTTTCATTTCTAATTTTATTGATTTGCCTCCCCTCCCTTTTTTTCTTGATCAGTCTGGCTAAGGGTTTACCAATTTTGTTTATCTTCTCAAAGAACCAGCTTTTAGTTTCATTGATCTTTGCTATTGTTTTCTTCATTATTATTTCATTTATTTTTGCTCTGTTCTTTATGATTTCTTTCCTTCTACTGTTTTTGGGTTTTCTTTGTTCTTCTTTCTCTAGTTGCTTTTAGTGTAGGGCTAGATTGTTTATTTGAGATTTTTCTTGTTTCTTGAGGTGAGATTGAATTGCTATAAACTTTCCTCCTAGAAATGCTTTTACTGCATCCCATAGGTTTTGGGTCATTGTGTTTTCATTGTCAATTTTTTCTATGAATTTTTAAAATTTCTTCTTTGATTTCTTCAGTGACCTCTTGGTTATTTAGTAGTGCACTGTTTAGCCTCCTTGTATTTGTTTTTTACAATTTTTTTCCTGTAATTGATTTCCAATCTTATAGCGTTGTGGTCAAAAAACATGCTTGATACGATTTCAATTTTCTTAAATTTTTTGAGGATTGATTTGTGACCCAAGATGTGATCTATCCTGGAGAATGTTTCGTGTGCACTTGAGAAGAAAGTGTATTCTGCCACTTTGGGGTGGAATGTTCTATAAATATCAATAAGATCTATCTTGTCTATTGTGTCATTTAAAGCTTGAGTTTCCTTATTTATTTTCTGTTTGGATGATCTGTCCATTGTTAAAGTCCTCTACTGTTATTGTGTTACTGTCGATTTCTCCTTTCATGGTTGTTAGCATTTGCCTTATGTATTGAGGTGCTCCTGTGTTGGGTGCATAAACATTTATAATTGTTTTGTCTTCTTCTTGGATTGTTCCTTTGATCATTATGTACTGTCCCTCCTTATCTTTTGTAACAGTCTTTATTTTAAAGTCTATTTTATCTGATATGAGTATTGCTACTCCAGCTTTCTTTTGATTTCCATTTGCATGGAATATCTTTTTCCATCCCTTCACTTTCAGTCTGTATATGTCCCTAGGTCTGAAATGGGTCTGTTGTAGACAACATATATATGGGTCTTGTTTTTGTATCCATTCAGCCAGTCTGTGTCTTTTGGCTGGGGCATTTAATCCATTTACAGTCAAGGTTATTATCGATATGTATGTTCCTATGACCACTTTCTTAATTGTTTTGGGTTTGTTTTTGTGAGTCTTTTTCTTCTCTTGTGTTTCCTGCTTCAAGAAGTTTCTTTAGCATTTGTTGTAAAGCTGGTTTGGTGGTGCTGAATTCTCTTAGCTTTTGCTGTCTGAAAAGCTTTTGAATTCTTTATTGAATCTGAATGAGATCCTTGCTGGGTAGAGTAATCTTGGTTGTAGGTTTTTCTCTTTCATCACTTTAAGTATATCCTGCCACCCCTTCTGGCCTGCAGTTTCCTCTGAAAAATCAGCTGATAACCTTATGGGGATTCCTTTATATGTTATTTTTTGTTTTTCCCTTGCTGCTTTTAATATTTTTTCTTTGAATTTAATTTTTGTTAATATGATTAATATGCGTCTTGGTGTGTTTTTCCTTGGGTTCATCCTGTATGGGACATCCTGTATGGGACTTGGGTGACTATTTCCTTTCCCATGTTAGGAACGTTTTCAACTATAATCTCCTCAAATATTTTCTCAGACCTTTTCTTTTTCTCTTTGTCTTCTGGGACCCCTATAATTCAAATGTTGTTGCATTTAGTGTTGTCCCAGAGATGTCTGAGCTTGTTCTGGATTCTTTTCATTCTTTTTTCTTTATTCTGCTCCTCAGCAGTTATTTCCACCATTTTGTCTTCCAGCTCACTTATTCATCCTTCTGCTTCAGTTATTCTGTTATTGATTCCTTCTAGTGTATTTTTCATTTCAGTTATTGTGTTGTTCATCTATGTTTGTTCTTTAGTTCTTCTAGATCTTTGTTAAACATTTCTTGTATTTTCTCAATCTGTACTTCCATTCTGTTACTGAGATTCTGGATGATTTTTACTATCATTACTCTGAATTCTTTTTCAGGTAGATTGCCCATTTCCTCTTCATTTATTTGGTCTTGTAGATTTTTACCTTGCTTCTTCATCTGTGGCATATTTTTTGCCATCTTATTTTTTTTTTTGAGTGAAATTGTGCTGCTATTTTACTGGTTGTTTGGCCTGAGGCTCCCAACACTGGAGTTTGTAGGCTACTGGGTAGACCTGAGATGGGTCTTGGTGCTGAGATGGGGAGCTCTGTGCGACCTCACTCCTGTGAATATTCCCTGGGGTCTGAAGTTCTCTGTTAGTCCAGTGTTTCAGACTTGGAGCTCCCTCCGCAGTAGCTTCTGCCTAACCCCAGGCTTGCGAACCAAGATCCTGCAAACTGGTTCACTCTGGGGTTCCTCCTGTCTCCTTGGGCATTAGAATATACCACCAGCGGCCGGCAGGCTCCCTAGTTGTGGGGGGACGCTAACTCCACATCTTCCCACACCACCATCTTGACTCTGCCTCTCTGGATTGATTTTTATATGTTCTGCTTGCGATTGTTTTTTTGTTTGATTTTTTTGTTTATTTGTGCTTCTTGAGTCTAAAGATTTTATTCTCATCAGTTATGGAAGACTCTCAAGTATTATCTCTTTGAATGTAACATTTTGCACATTGTCTTTATTATATCTTTGTGGTATTGCAGATATTAGACCTTTTTATTCTGTTTTCTTTATTTCTTGTCCTCTCTTTCATATTAACCTTATTTTTTCACTCTAATCTTAATTCAGATCTATAGTCAGTTTGCTAATTTTTTTTTTTTGCTGTATGTGGGCCTCTCCAGTTTGCTAATTTTCTCCTCAGCTTTGTCTAATTTTCTTTTATCTAGTTTGCTCCACCCCCAGCTGTGAGCCAAGGCCCATAATGACAGTTAACCTTGTCATCTCATCTTCCTTTGCCAGCTGATAAGACTTCTTTCTGTGACACCCTTATGCTAATGTTGTAGCCTTCAAGGTTCTAGGTTTATTCAGAAAATTAAGTTCCAGCGTCTCATCTCATGGGCTCCATAGGGGACTTTGTCTTCAAGGGCTTCAGTGCTTACCTACTACTAATATTTACTTCTTCCTCCTTGTTTCTGTCTCCTGAGGATTTTCCTTCCATTTTTACAATCTAAGCTCTGTATTTAAAAGGGCATTTGTTGTAGTTTATCCAGTATTTCAAGGTGTTATTATAAATGTGTAGGCCTCCATATTAATGGAAGTGGTTCATGTCTTTTTAGGATGAAGGGGGAAAAGCTTTATGGTATTAAATGGACTTTAGTAATGGATCTCCTATTAATATTTTTGGCTAATATTTTATATCATGATCATTCTTAACCATTAATATTAAATTAGAGTTGGCTATAGTAGGTAGTCAGTCCTCAGTATCTGCAGTTTGTAGTAAATTTCAGGTTTAAGGGAAACTGAAATCATTCTTTAAAAACAACAATGAATATATAAATTATATGAATTCATCTAAAATAGTTGGCTTCTTATTTCAACTTTTAACAATAGTGACTTTTTCTACAGAGACAGCAATTCTATTTGGGAGATGATTTGAAAAATAAAAAAATCATTACCTTTTTCTTTATTTCCATCTATCTCAGTGATTCAGGTTCTCTGCAGGGTTCGATTTTGCCCCCCTCCCCAGGTAGCATTTGACAATGTCTGGAGAAAGTTTTGGTTATTGTAATTTGTAAAACAGAGGGGTTGCTAGTGTCATCTAGTGGGTAAAGCCAGGAATGCTTATAAACTTCATAGAATACATAAGACATCCCCCACAACAAAGTATTATCTAGCCCAAAATATCAGTAGTGCTTAGGTTAAAAAACCCTATTTATAAAAGGAGCTATAATTTTCTCAGTTACCTAGCTGAAATTGATAAATCTTACTTAAAAATGTAACATATATGATACATTAAAACTACCCAGAAATTCATACACATATACTTATTTTCTTAACAATTCTAGTTATATCTGTTGTTGATGAAAAATACTCATGGTAGCAAGTCATCCCTCTCATTATCCCTAAATATAAGGTGTTAAATTAAAACCATGAAGCCTTTGAGAGATGAACAAGGTTAATTTATGGTTTAGCTTTGGTAAATAATCGAATAATGCTTATTTTCTGATAGTGATATAATCAAACTAACAGTTAGCTCTTTATATAGTGTATGTGTGCCTTTCAAAAAAATGAACCCTGCATCCTTTATAAATGTCCCAAAGAAATATAGAATCAGGGTTTAAAAAAAAAGGATTTTACCTTTTTCTAAAGGGCAGAAAACACATAGAATCATTCTTAATAGTGATTTAATCATGATATAAAGCAGTTGGTTTTGAAATAATCCACATTGCTTTGTCAGATTCATGTGCATTACTTCATATTTGTTTTTGCTTGTGTCATGAAAATGAAAGATTTGTGATATTGCTTATTTGGGTCTTATTCCCATTATATTTTTGTCGTTTTTAATTAAAAATGTTTAATCTTAAAATAGTTTTAGACTTAAAGAGAAATTGCAGAAATGTACAGAGATTTCTTTTATTCCCTTTACCAAGCTTCTCCTAATGTTAACACCTTACATAAACATAATCATAAACCGAAGGAAATCCACATCACTACAATATTAACTAAACTACAGATCTTATTTGGATTTCACCAGTTTTTCCCCTAATGTCCTTTTTCTGTTTCAGAATCCAATCACACATTGCATTTAGTTGGCATGGCTCCTTCGTCTTCTCCATTCTATAACAGTTCTTCAGTCTTTCTTTGCTTTACATGAACTTGACGCTTGACAAGAACACTGGTCAGTTATATCTTACATAGAATGTCTCTCTCAGTATAGGATTCCCTGACGGTTTCTCTGGAGTAAATTGAGGTTATGTTTTTGACAACACCACCGTATAAGTATGCTGTACTCTTCCCAGTTCATCATTTCAGAAGGTAAATGGTGTTGAAATGTTTTATTACTGGTGATATTATCTTTGGTAAGGTGGTATCTGCCAGGTTTCTCTACTATAAAGTTGCTCTTTTTCCCTTTGTAATTAATCTTTCTTGCCATTACTTTAATTTTTAAAATTTTTATTTTATATTGGAGTATGGTTGATTTACAATGTTGTGTTAGTTTCAGGTATACAGCCAAGTGATTTAGTTAAACATATACATATATTATTTTTCAGATTCTTTTCCCATATAGGTTATTACAGAGTATTGAGTAGATTTCCCTGTGCTATACAGTAGGTCCTTGTTGATTATCTGTTTTATATATAGTAGTGTGTATGTTAATCCCAAACTCCTAATTTATCCCTCCCCCCACCTTTCCCCTTGATAACCATCAGTTTGCTTTAATAGAAATAATTAAGTTTCTTAAAATTATTAAGTTTTATTTATTTCTTTTTCTTACTTATTTTCTTCTAAAATTATTTCTTAAAATAATTAACTTAATTTTAACAGAAAACAAATGTGGAAGAGATAAAAATTGTTCTGTTTCCTCAAATACTTTGTGAATATTTGGTTCAAATAGCATAATCTTATAAGTTTTATAATTTTAACATCTTGTTTTCAGTTAGGTTGGGAAATGACTTTTTTTTTTTAAACCTTAACATATAATTTCAGAACACCTATTTAACTTGAAGTTTGCTGCAAAGGAACTTAATAGGAATGCCAAGAAATGTGATAAAGAAGAAAAGGCTGAAAAGGCCAAGATTAAAAAGGTAAGTAATTTTTTTGTGTGTGTGTGGTATGCGGACCTCTCACTGTTGTGGCCTCTCCCGTTGCAGAGCACAGGCTCCAGACACGCGGGCTCAGTGGCCATGGCTCCTGGGCCCAGCTGCTCCACAGTATGTGGGATCTTCCCAGACCGGGGCACGAACCCATGTCCCCTGCATCAACAGGCAGACTCTCAACCACTGCGCCACCAGGGAAGCCCCAAGGTAAGTAATTTTTAATCTTTTTACTTTTTTTTAAACTCATGAAATGAGCACAGTTATATGATGGAAGAGTGGTTGTTTTAGTTTATTTTACATTGAAGAAGGATTACTGGCTTTAGCATTTTAAGCCAAATATCTATCAAGTAAATTATTTATTATCTGACATAATTAATAATGGCTTTTTTGTTTATTTCTACTTATGTGTGCAAGTATGGCTCATAGCACAGAGTATAACTGTGCTGTTACCTAACTGTTCTGTTGCCCAGATCTAATGACTGTCCTTTGGTTTGTAGCCAGAACCACTGTTACTGAGAAGTATAAAGCCTGTATGTCAGAATAATATTTCACATTTTTTGGCTCATTTGAATTTCTTTAGTCTCTAAAGTTTTGGTTTTTTTTTTTGCGGTACGTGGGCCTCTCACTGTTGCGGCCTTCTCCCGTTGCGGAGCACAGGCTCCAGACGCGCAGGCTCAGTGGCCATGGCTCACGGGCCCAGCCGCTCTGCGGCATGTGGGATCTTGCTGGACCAGGGCACGAACCCGTGTCCCCTGCATCAGCAGGTGGACTGTCAACCACTACGCCACCAGGGAAGCCCAAGTTTTTTTATTTTTTTAACATCTTTATTGGAGTATGATTGCTTTACAATCATGTGTCAGTTTCTGCTGTATAATAAAGTGAATCAGCTATGTGTATACATATATCCCCATATCCTCTCCCTCTTGCATCTCCTTCCCACCCTCCCTATCCCACCCCTCTAGGTGGTCGCAGAGCACCCAGCTGATCTCCCTGTGCTATGCGGCTGCTTCCCACTAGCTGTTTTACATTTGATGGTGTATATATGTCAGTGCTACTCTCTCACTTCGTTGCAGCTTACCCTTCCCCTCCCCGTGTGCTCAAGTCCATTCTCTACATCTGCGTCTTTATTCTTGTCCTGCCCCTAGGTTCATTAGAACCATTTTTTTAAAGATTCCATATATATATATGTGTTAGCATACAGTATTTGATTTTCTCTTTCTGACTGACTTCATTCTGTATGACAGACTCTAGGTCCATCCCCCTCACTACAAATAACTCAATTTCATTTCTTTTTATGGCTGAGTAATATTCCATTGAATATAAGTTTTATATATACATAGTACATAGAATTAATGTATATTGTGACTTGTGCATTGTGTATTTTCTAGGATTCACAGGACTCAGCATATAGTTGGACTCATGGCTATGACATATTACACTAAAGGATACAAAGGGAAAACACATGGGGCGATGTCTGGAGGAATCCAGGCTTAAGCTTCCAAGAGTTCTCAGTGGAAACACACAGGAGAAGCTTAATTCCTGCAGCAACAAATTGTGACAACATATGTTAAATGTTGTCTACCAAGTAAGTTCTCCTGTGACTGGGAGTCCAAGGCTTTTATTGGTAGTCACGCAGGGATCCTCTGCCTAGCACACACCAAAATTCCAGTCTCCCAGAAAGAAATCCATTGTTTGGCATAAACCACATTGTTTGTATAAAGAGTTTAGGCACAGTGAGCCACTCTTAACTGTTCTGGGAAAGATGGAAACCTTCCCCAAATCCAAGTTCCTAGATGCTAGTTACACGCCAAACTTGCAAATAGACGTTTCGAAGGACAGCAGACTCAGGCTTGCTGTGTTAACTCTTTTCTGCACACGTGTATTTTTATATCTATCTTTAATATTTTATTAACTTACTCTGATCTTTGGTAATAGCGTATATCCTACCCTTAAATTGAGCCACTTTGGGTATTTTATGCTCTTAATAGAGAAAACTTTATGGGAAGAAAACTTTCAGAAAAGGAGAAAGAAATAGGCTGAGTTAGAAGAAAAAATACTTAAAATTGATGTATTAGCATCATCCTTTTCTAAAAGTATAAGCCCAACTATTTCAAGGAAAGAGAAAGCATAAAAAAGATTTTGGTCTTACATTTTTGTATATTGAGGAAATTAGAAATAACCTAAAAATAATTTTTGAATTTTCAAATCTCAGGCAAGCACAGCAGTATTAAAACATGCATATTCCCAACAAACAAAGTCCAGGCCCAGATAGTTTTACCGGTGAATTATACCAGACATTTAAAGAATTAAAGTACACCTTTGAACAACACAGGTTTGAACTTCACAGGTCCACTTGTGCACATATTTTTTTCAACCAAGATGTACTATAGTACTACACTATTCATGGTCGGTTGAATCCACAGATGCAGAACTGTAGATACAGAAGGCCAACTGTAAAGTTATACATGGATTTTTGACTGAGTGGGGTTTGGCACCCCTAGCCCCATGTTGTTCAAGGGTCAACTGTAATACCAATCAACCTCAAATTCACTCATCCAAAAAATTAAAGAGGAGGGGACACATCCAAACTCACTCTATGAGGCCAGCATTACCCTGATACCAAAACCAGACAAGGAAACTACAAGAAAAGAACATTATAGGCCAATAGCCCTGATGAACATAGATGTAAAAATCCTCAACAAAATAGTAGCAAACCAAATTCAACAATGCATTAAAAGGGTCATACACCATGATTAAATGGAATTTATTCCAGGGATGTGGGGATGGTTCACCATCCACAAGTCAATCAGGGTGATATACCACATTAACAAAATGAAGGATAAAAATCATATAATCATCTCAATAGATGCAGAAAAGGCATGTGACAAAATTCAACATTCATTCATGATAACAGCTCTCAACAAAGTGGATGTAGGGGGAATGTACCTCAACATAATGAAAGCCATAGATGACAAGCCCACAGTTAGCATCATACCCAAGGAAAAAAAGCTAAAAGGTTTTCCTCTAAGATCAAGATAAGGATGCCGACTTTTACCACTTCTGTTCCACATACTGCTGGAAGTCCTAGCCAGAGCAATTAGGCAAGAAAAAGAAATAAAAGACATCCAAATCAGAAAGGAAGAAGTAAAACTGTCTCTATTAGCAGATAACATGTATTACATATAAAAAACCCATGGCATTATATATAGAAGAATCCACCAAAAAAAAAATGAGAATAAACAGATGCAATAAAGTTGCAGGATACAAAATCAATATACAAAAATCAGTTGTGTTTCTATAACTAATAATGAACTATCAGAGAAGTTAAGAAAACAATCTTATTTACAATTTCATTAAAAATAAAATACCTAGGGAAACTTAACCAAGGACCTGAAAGACTACACTGAAAACTATAAGACATTGATGAAAGAAATTGAAGAAGATGCAAATAAATGGAAAGATATTCCATTCTCATGGGTTGGAACAATTAATATTGTTAGAATGTCCATACTGCTCAAAGCAATCTACAAATTCAGTTCAATCCCTATGAAGATGCCAATGGCAGTTTTCATAGAAATAGAACAAACAGTCCTAAAATTTATATGGAACCACAAAAGACTCTGAATATCCAAGGCCATCTTGAGAAAGAACAAGGCTCAAACATCATGCTTCCTGATTTCAAACTATATTACCAAGCTGTGGTAAATGAGACAGCATGATATTGACATAAAAACAGACACGTAGATCAATGAAACAGAATAGAGAAATCAGAAATAAACCCACACATTTATGGTAATTTATTTGCAACAAAGGACCCAAGAATATACAATGGGGAAAGGACAGTCTCTTCAGTAAATAGTGTTGGGAAAGCTGGACAGCTACATGCAAAAGAATAAAACTGGACCACTGTCTTACAACATATACAGCAGTTATCTCAAAATGGATTAAAGACTTGAACTTTAAACGTGAAGTCATAAAACTCTAGAAGAAAACGTAGATGGTAAACTCCTTGATACTGGTCTTGGCAGTGATTTTTTGGAATCGACACCAAAAGCAGAGGCAACAAAAGCAAAATTAAAGACGTGGGACTTCATCCAACAAAAAAGCTTCTGCGCAGCAAAGGAAGCCATGAAAAAATTTAAAAGGCAACTTACTGAGTGGGAGAAAATATTTGAAAACCATACAGCTGATAAGGCGTTTATATCTGAAATATGTAAAGAATTTATACAAGTCAAAAGCAAAATACCAAACAATCTGATTTAAAAATGTGTAGAGGATCTGAATATACATTTTTCATAAAAAGACATACCAATTTGCCAACAGGTACATGAAAATGTTCTCAATATCACGCATCATCAGGGAAATGCAAATCAAAACACAATAAGACATCACTTCACACCTGTTAGAATGACTGTCATCAAAAAGACAAAAAGTGGCTTCCCTGGTGGCGCAGTGGTTGAGAGTCCGCCTGCCAATGCAGGGGACACGGGTTCATGCCCCGGTCCAGGAAGATCCTACATGCCGCAGAGCGGCTAGGCCTGTGAGCCATGGCTGCTGGGCCTGCACGTCCGGAGCCTGTGCTCTGCAACGTGAGAGGCCACAACAGTGAGAGGCCTGCGTACCACACACACACACACACACACACAAAAGACAAAAAGCAAAAAGTGTTGGAGAGGTTGTGGAGCAAAGGGAACCCTTGTGCACTATTGGTGGGATTATAAATTGGTGCAGCCACTATGGAAAACAGTATGGATGTTCCTTGAAAAGTGAAAATTACAACCTACCAAATGGTCCAGCAATTCCACTTCTGGGTATTTATCTGAAGGAAACAAAAACACTAACTCAGAAAGATATATACACCCCCATGTTCATTGCAGCATTATTTACAGTAGCCAAGACATGCGGGGCTTCCCTGGTGGTGCAGTGCTTAAGAATCCACTGGCCAATGCAGGGGGCATGGATTCAAGCCCTGGTCCAGGAAAGATCCCACATGCTACAGAGCAACTAGGCCAATGTGCCACAAGTACCGAGCCTGTGCTGTAGAGCCCATGAGCCACAACTACTGAGCACACATGCCACAACTGCTGAAGCCTGCGCGCCTAGAGCCCGTGCTCTGCAACAAGACAAGCCACCACAATGAGGAGCCCGCACACTGTGATGAAGACCCAATGCAGCCAAAAATAAATAAAATAAATTAATTTTTTAAGAAAGACATGAAAACAACCTAAGTGTCCATCAATGGATGAATGGAAAAAGAAAATTTGGAATATATATATATATATATATAAAGTTGAATATTATTCACCCATAAACAAGGAAATCCTGCCATTTGCAACAACATGGATGGACCTTGAGCATATTATGCTAAGTGAAATAAGTCAGAGAGAGAAAGGCAGATGCCATGTGATCTAACTTATGTGGAATCTTAAAAAAAAAAACTCATGGATAAAGAGAATAGATTTGTGGTTGCCAGAGGAAGGAGGTGGGGGGTGGGTGTGTGTGAAATGGGTGAAGATGGCTGAAAGGTACAAACTATCAGTTATAAAATAAGTCCTGGGAATATAATGTACAGCGTGATGACTACAGTTAATAATACTTTATTATATATTTGAAAGTTGCTAAGAAATCTTAAAAGTTCTCATCACAAGAAAAAAAATTGTAGCTATATGTAGTTATGGATGTTAACTAGGGAAAAAAACTTGGAAAGTGTTTGAGGTTGCATATACTAATGTATTTATCACATTGGTGTTTATATTATTGAAGAATTGGAAACAAACTAAATACCCAGCAAACAGGGATCTTAACTGATCCATGTGCTCTAATTTCACACTTATGTACCCTATCGATTTTGCTATACTGGGGTACCATCTGAGCTATTTAACATTTTTCTTTAAATTGACTTTTAACTTCATACCTTGCCATAGCTATTACAGTATAGCAGAAAGCATGGATCTGTGCTAGTCATATCCATTTCAGATATACATTTAAATAAATGCATGATTAAAATGAAGATACTTATGTCTGTGTAACATCTAAAATAATTTTATGTACTATCAGTAGTGTTTTTACCGCACACGAGGAAAGCCCTGATTAATGGTACATCCATACAACACAGCCTTTTTTTTTTTAAACACAGTCTTTAGAGTGATGATGTAGTTATATATTTATTGACTTAAAAAATTTTTAATTAGGTGAGAAAACAGTATGCTCTGATGTACAGTACTCTTGTAATTTATATTGTAATATTTCAATAAATAGGTTTATGTACTTGGAATACTTTATACTGAAATATTAATAGTGGTAATGGCTGAGTGATTATGGGAAAAATTTTAAACTTTATATTCTAATTTCTTAAAATGTTAATGAGTATATATCTTTTAGTCATAAATAAAAAATTAAAGGACTATAAATTCTCCTTTTATTTCCTAAAAATACTAATTGTAAAAGCTCTTAAATATTAAAAATATGTTAGTTGGGCATTGTTTTCCTCTTTCTAAAATATCTACTTTTGCTCCCTATATTTATTTTTGGTGTTTGTCTTCACTGTTTACTTTTGCTGTGTTTAAAACAGGCCATTCAGAAAGGCAATACAGAAGTTGCAAGACATGCTGAAAATGCAATCCGCCAGAAGAACCAAACAATTAATTTCTTGAGAATGAGTGCTAGGGTTGATGCTGTGGCAGCCAGAGTTCAAACTGCAGTTACAATGGGCAAGGTAAGCCTTAATATCTGTAAATAATAGGGACTCTTGATTTAAGTTATTGGAGGTATTAAGAATTGTCAGAAATCTAAATCTACTGCAAAGTGTTACAAAGGTACTCGCCTTCCTGGGCAGGAGAAAGATAGTCAAAATGCTTACTGAGGAAACCGATTTTGGCAGTGGCTTTTCAGCTAAGGTCTAATTAGTTGTCTTCCAATGAATAGTCAAAGATAAAAGATAGTCGATGCCTAAACCAGAAATACATAGTGTACTTTTACTGTTAAGGAAACGGTAGATAAATTTTATAAGATGATCTACAAGTAATATAAGAAACTACATAAATTTTGAGGTTGTTTATATTATAGGATTCTCAGTCTTTTCTTTTTTTATACTCCCAATAGGTAACCAAGTCCATGGCAAATGTAGTTAAGTCTATGGATGTTACATTGAGGAGTATGAACCTTGAAAAGGTAAAAAAGATAAATAAATATATTGATGTTCAGATAATATCTTTTCAGAGTAAGTTTTTTTCTTATGACCATATTTCTTTTTGCAGATTTCTGCCCTGATGGACAAATTTGAACAGCAGTTTGAAACACTGGATGTTCAAACGCAACAAATGGAAGACACAATGAGTAGTACTACAACCCTAACAACACCACAAGTAAGAATAGTTTCTCTACTTACACTAACTTTTAAAAATTACCCAACTTCAAAATATAATGGCTTTGTGAACCTAAATCATCTCTAGAATGTGAAGTAAACATGGTGTATCCCCAAAATGCAAGTAGGAAGTTATGCTCTGACCCTGGATTCCTAAGGACATGTTAGAAGATGACATTTCCTATCTTGTTTTGAAGTTCTAAGAATTATTATAGGTCACATGTCTAGAGAGTATGGAACTTGGTTCTGCCCTGCTGCCAGTGGTCCTTATTGATAAAAGCATTGAACTAGGGACTCACTGAGGCCAGTGGGTATTAGGTAATATCCTAACCCCAGTTAAGTCATCTCATTGCAGATAGTCTGCTTCCTGCCTACTCTTTAGGTATGTTATTAGGCACAGATCACAGATGAACAAATAGTAAATTACAAGATCAATTATTTTTCAGAAAACTAGGATGTTTTCTAGGATGTTGTTGCATCTGCAACTTAGAGATGTGCTACAGAGAAAATTAAATTTGAAACTAGTTTGGATGTCATGTGAGCCAGAAATAAAGATTTTGTGAAACTTGAATATTAAAATAGAAGATTTATATCATTACCGATCTTCTTTTTGATCCCAGCACCTATCACATAGTTCATCAAATAAACAAAAAACTTGTTATCACTACATAAGATGATAATATGGATAATTTACAAAACAGGTTAGGAGAAAAATCAATAGCCATCCATCAGAATTTTACTGAAGGTGATGCCTTTCACTAAGAGGTAAATAATAAGAGAACAAGCTTATATTCATGTTTTAGAGTTAAGAAGAAAGTATTCATGTATATGTCTTATAGAGAGCATATATTTAGTCATTACTTTCATACCTCCTCCAGAGCCTTGCTTCCCCAAAGTGTGGTGCAAAAATCAGGAACATCTGTATCATCTGGGAGCTTATTAGGAATGCAGAAATTCAGACCCTATCCACAGATATATTGAATTGGAATCATTTTAATAAGATTTACAGGTGATATTTATGCCCTGATTTTGAGAAGCACTGTCCTAGAGTTTCTGATTCTTATTCAGGTACCTTAGGTGGTTTCCAGGTGATTTTATGGTCAAGATTAGGAAAACACAAGGGGACTGGAAAAATGACTTGAAGTCAGGACACTTGGATTTCTAATCCCTACTCTGCCACTAATTAAGTTTGGGACCTTAAGATATTCACTACCTTGGGCCTCAGTATTCATAGCTGTAAAATGTAGGGTTGGATTTGATGATATCTAAATGCCTTTTAGCTCTGAAAAATCTTGAGATTCATTCACCTAACATTTGCTAAGCACCTTCTCCTGTTTCAGGTATTGTGCTAGGTGCTGGGGATATTCAAGTATATACAAAACATTTTTCATAAAGAGTCAACCAAAATTTACAACAGAAATGGGCATGCTTAGATGCCCAAATTCTCATACCTTGCTAATGAGTAATTAGAATTTAAATTAGCATATTCACTTTGGAAAAGCAATGCGGTAATATCTACAGTCCATTCTTAACATAGCAGCCAGAGCAATCCTGATAAAACAAGTCAGATCATGTCATTCTTCTGCTCAGAACCCTTCAGTGGCTCTGCATGTCTCTCAAAATAAAAGCCTAATTCTTTATGGTGGCCTATAGTGCCCTCTAGGATCTACCTCATCCTGCTTCTCTGACCTTATCTCCTATTATTGCTCATCACTGTACTAAGATATTGGCTTCCTTGTTATTTCTCAAACACACCATGTACATTTCTTCCTCAAAGCCATTCACTTGCAGGTTCCTCTGCCTGAATCTTCTTCATCTGTCTTGCACTCATCCTCATTGCCCACTCCCCCACCTCCTTCAGTTCTTTGTTCAAATGTCATTTTCTCAGTGAGGTCTTTTAAGATCATCCTACTTAGAAGTACACCAGTGGCACATCCACCGAGCGCTGTACTCCCTATCTACCATCCCTGCTTTATTTTTCTTCATTGTACATATCACCTTCTAATAAACCACATAATTTAAAAAGTTTTTATTTGCCCCTCCCTTTCATGTGCACACACTAGAATGTAAGCTTAATGAAGGCAGGGATATTTTTAATTATTTTTGTTTACTGATGTATCCCTAACGCTTAAAATGATATCTGGCATAGGGTAGGTGCTCAGTTAATATTTGTTGAATAAATCAGAGTATATGAAAATGCATGTGACCTATAACCTAGTACTTCTATTTTTAAATTTATACACAAAAGACCTACATGTATATAAACATACTTCTACATAAGAATGTTCATTGCACTATTGTCTATAATCAGGAGAAATTAGGGGAAAATGTCTAAATGTCCAGAAATAAAATGGATAAATACAGTTGAGAGTATTTTATATTACAGTACTATACAGGAGTGAAAGTTAATGAACTAGAGCTCTAGATCTCAATATAATTAGATCTTATAAGGTTGAATTAAAAAAACAAGTTGCGGAATAGTATACTTAGTATAATGCCATTTACGTAAATTTTAAAAACAAATAATGGTATTTTAGATATGAAGTAAAAACAACACAATCTAAATGCACAGAAGTATTTGATCTATTATTTTCTGAACTTTTTTATATTTTGAAGGTGAATGAAAGACAAGAGAGACTAAGGCCCAACAACATTATTAGAGGTTTGTTTAAAATTTGGCACCTTGTGGTAGAGCTGTAACTATGTCTTAGAGCTCCTACCTGTATGTTCAAAATATTTTAAATAAGTTAAAAACAAGTTTTTTTTAATTAATTGGACTCTATTCCCTGAGAACTCCTGTACTGTTGTAAATATCTCAATACTTATATTTTATTCATCTCTAGATACTTTAAAAAGTAATCCTTAATATCAAATTTGCATCAACTAGCAGAAAGGACAGTTATGATTAATCTAAAATTTAAGTCTGTTACATTTTAAATACCAGCAAAGTTGGTTCGCTCCATTAGAGAGCTACATTACTCAGATTCAAATTATATGTGAATATCACTGTGAATATTTTTCACATAACCTCATAGTTTAAGGCTTTATAATTTAACATTATTCATAAATAAATCATTTTATGAGATAATTCAGCTCCCTCTGGTGGTAAAAATTTTTTTTAAAACTTTCTTTTAAAAACTGTAAATCAGTTCCCCCTTTTTAAAGCTAGGTCAGAAACAAAAACTACCCAAAAAGCAAATACCATTCAAATACAAATTCTCATTTTTTTATTCTAGAACCAGGTGGATATGCTGCTTCAAGAAATGGCAGATGAAGCTGGGTAAGAAATTATTGAGATGCTTTTGAAATAATCTTGATTTAATATCTACAAGTCCTACAATTATGTAATGTGGATAAAAATATCACCAATGGTCAGAGTTAGGTTTTTGACTCTAGGATTTAGTGCTTCAAGGATCTTTAGAACATCCAGCTCTTTGTCATGCTCATAAAAATATGACTTTGTTCCAATCATCTTAGTATTTTCTTAAAAATCTCTGGAGATAGATTTGGTTAGTGTGTGATAAGAAATGAAGGAAGGTGACTGAGGGAGGCAGGAGTGTTTAAAAAGTTTCCTCTGTACCGTCTGTGTTCAGCATATATCAAATGTTTAATTGTTTTTAATAGGATCTTCCAAAAGAATTCTACTATGATCAGGCCATTAAGTTTTTTTTTTTTTTAATTTTTTTTTAACATCTTTATTGGGGTATAATTGCTTTACAATGGTGTGTTAGTTTCTGCTTTATAACAAAGCGAATCAGTCATACATAAACATATGTTCCCATATGTCTTCCCTCTTGCGTCTCCCTCCCTCCCACCCTCCCTATCCTACCCCCAAGGCTGTCACAACGCACCGAGCCAATATCCCTGTGCCATGCAGCTGCTTCCCACTAGCTATCTACCTTACTACGTTTGTTAGTGTGTATATGCCCATGACTCTCTCTCGCCCTGTCACAGCTCACCCTTCCCCCTCCCCATAACCTCAAGTCCGTTCTCTAGGAGGTCTGCGTCTTTATTCCAGCTTTACCCCTAGGTTCTTCATGACATCTTTTCTCTTAAATTCCATATATATGTGTTAGCATACGGTATTTGTCTTTTTCTTTCTGACTTACTTCACTCTGTATGACAGACTCTAGGTCTATCCACCTCATTACAAATAGCTCAATTTCGTTTCTTTTTATGGCTGAGTAATATTCCATTGTATATATGTGCCACATCTTCTTTATCCATTCATCCGATGATGGGCATTTAGGTTGTTTCCATCTCCGGGCTATTGTAAATAGAGCTGCAATGAACATTTTGGTACATGAATCTTTTTGAATTATAGATTTCTCAGCATATATGCCCAGTAGTGGGATTGCTGGGTCATATGGTAGTTCTATTTGTAGTTTTTTAAGGAACCTCCATACTGTTCTCCATAGTGGCTGAACCAATTCACATTCCCACCAGCAGTGCAAGAGTGTTCCCTTTTCTCCACACCCTCTCCAGCATTTATTGTTTCTAGATTTTTTGATGATGGCCATTCTGACTGGTGTGAGATGATATCTCATTGTAGTTTTGATTTGCATTTCTCTAATGATTAATGATGTTGAGCATTCTTTCATGTGTTTGTTGGCAGTCTGTATATCTTCTTTGGAGAAATGTCTGTTTAGGTCTCCTGCCCATTTTTGGATTGGGTTGTTTGTTTTCTTGTTATTGAGTTGCATGAGCTGCTTGTAAATTTTGGAGATTAATCCTTTGTCGGTTGCTTCATTTGCAAATATTTTCTCCCATTCTGAGGGTTGTCTTTTGGTCTTGTTTATGGTTTCCTTTGCTGTGCAAAAGCTTTGAAGTTTCATTAGGTCCCATTTGTTTATTTTTGTTTTTATTTCCATTACTCTAGGAGGTGGGTCAGAAAGGATCTTGCTGTGATTTATGTCATAGAGTGTTCTGCCTATGTTTTCCTCTAAGAGTTTCATAGTTTCTGGCCTTACATTTAGGTCTTTAATCCATTTTGAGCTTATTTTTGTGTATGGTGTTAGGGAGTGATCTAATCTCATACTTTTACATGTACCTGTCCAGTTTTCCCAGCACCACTTATTGAAGAGGCTGTCCTTTCTCCACTGTACATTACTGCCACCTTTATCAAAGATAAGGTGTCCATATGTGCATGGGTTTATCTCTGGGCTTTCTATCCTGTTCCATTGATCTATCTTTCTGTTTTTGTGCCAGTACCATACCGTCTTGATAACTGTAGCTTTGTAGTATAGTCTGAAGTCAGGGAGCCTGATTCCTCCAGTTCCTTCTTTCGTTCTCAAGATTGCTTTGGCTATTTGGGGTCTTTTGTGTTTCCATACAAATTGCAAAATTTTTTGTTCTAGTTCTGTGAAAAATGCCAGTGGTAGTTTGATAGGGATTGCATTGAATCTATAGATTGCTTTGGGTAGTAGAGTCATTTTCACAATGTTGATTCTTCCAATCCAAGAACATGGTATATCTCTCCATCTATTTGTATCATCTTTAATTTCTATCATCAGTGTCTTATAATTTTCTGCATACAGGTCTTTTGTCTCCTTAGGTAGGTTTATTCCTAGATATTTTATTCTTTTTGTTGCAGTGGTAAATGGGAGTGTTTTCTTGATTTCACTTTCAGATTTCTCATAATTAGTATATAGGAATGCCAGAGATTTCTGTGCATTAATTTTGTATCCTGCCACTTTACCAAATTCATTGATTAGCTCTAGTAGTTTTCTGGTAGCATCTTTAGGGTTCTCTATGTATAGGATCATGTCATCTGCAAACAGTGACAGCTTTACTTCTTCTTTTCCAATTTGGATTCCTTTTATTTCCTTTTCTTCTCTGATGGCTGTGGCTAAAACTTCCAAAACTATGTTGAATAAGAGTGGTGAGAGTGGGCAACCTTGTCTTGTTCCTGATCTTAGTGGAAATGCTTTCAGTTTTTCACCATTGAGGATGATGTTTGCTGTGGGCTTGTCATATATGGCCTTTATTATGTTGAGGAAAGTTCCCTCTATGCCTACTTTCTGCAGAGTTTTTATCATAAATGGGTGTTGAATTTTGTCAAAAGCTTTCTCTGCATCTAGTGAGATGATCATACGGTTTTTCTCCTTCAATTTGTTAATATGGTTTATCACATTGATAGATTTGCGTATATTGAAGAATCCTTGCATTCCTGGAATAAACCCCACTTGATCATGGTGTATGATCCTTTTAATGTGCTGTTGGATTCCGTTTGCTAGTATTTTGTTGAGGATTTTTGCATCTATGTTCATCAGTGATATTGGCCTGTAGTTTTCTTTCTTTGTGACATCCTTGTCTGGTTTTGGTATCAAGGTGATGGTGGCTTCGTAGAAGGAGTTTGGGAGTGTTCCTCCCTCTGCTATATTTTGGAAGAGTTTGAGAAGGATAGGTGTTAGCTCTTCTCTAAATGTTTGATAGAATTCGCCTGTGAAGCCATCTGGTCCTGGGCTTTTCTTTGTTGGAAGATTTTTAATCACAGTTTCAATTTGAGTGCTTGTGATTGGTGTGTTCATATTTTCTATTTCTTCCTGATTCAGTCTTGGCAGGTTGTGCATTTCTAAGAATTTGTCCATTTCTTCCAGATTGTCCATTTTATTGGCATAGAGTTGCTTGTAGTAATCTCTCATGATCTCTTTTATTTCTGCAGTGTCAGTTGTTACCTCTTCTTTTTGATTTCTAATTCTATTGATTTGAGTCTTCTCCCTTTTTTTCTTGATGAGTCTGGCTAGTGGTTTATCTATTTTGTTTATCTGCTCAAAGAACCAGCTTTTAGTTTTATTGATCTTTGCTATTGTTTCCTTCATTTCTTTTTCATTTATTTCTGATCTGATTTTTATGATTTCTTTCCTTCTGCTAGCTTTGGGGTTTTTTTTGTTCTTCTTTCTCTAATTGCTTGAGGTGCAAGGTTAGGTTGTTTATTCGAGATGTTTCCTGCTTCTTAAGGTGGGCTTGTATTGCTATAAACTTCCCCCTTAGAACTGCTTTTGCTGCATCCCACAGGTTTTGGGTCGTTGTGTCTCCATTGTCATTTGTTTCTAGGTATTTTTTGATTTCCTCTTTGATTTCTTCAGTGATCACTTCATTATTAAGTAGTGTATTGTTTAGCCTCCATGTGTTTGTATTTTTTACAGATCTTTTCCTGTAATTGATATCTAGTCTCATGGCGTTGTGGTCGGAAAAGATACTTGATACAATTTTAATTTTCTTCAATTTACCAAGGCTTGATTTGTGACCTAAGATATGATCTATCCTGGAGAATGTTCCATGAGCACTTGAGAAAAATGTGTATTCTGTTGTTTTTGGGTGGAGTGTCCTATAAATATCAATTAAGTCCATCTTGTTTAATGTATCATTTAAAGCTTGTGTTTCCTTATTTATTTTCATTTTGGATGATCTGTCCATGGGTGAAAGTGGGGTGTTTAAGTCCCCTACTATGAATGTGTTACTGTCGATTTCCCCTTTTATGGCTGTTAGTATTTGCCTTATGTATTGAGGTGCTCCTATGTTGGGTGCATAAATATTTACAATTGTTATATCTTCTTCTTGGATCGATCCCTTGATCATTATGTAGTGTCCTTCTTTGTCTCTTTTAATAGTCCTTATTTTAAAGTCTATTTTATCTGATATGAGAATTGCTACTCCAGCTTTCTTTTGGTTTCCATTTGCATGGAATATCTTTTTCCATCCCCTTACTTTCAGTCTGTATGTGTCTCTAGGTCTGAAGTGGGTCTTTTGTAGACAGCATATATAAGGGTCTTGTTTTTGTATCCATTCAGCCAATCTGTGTCTTTTGATGGGAGCATTTAGTCCATTTACATTTAAGGTAATTATCGATATGTATGTTCCTATTCCCATTTTCTAAATTGTTTTGGGTTCGTTATTATAGGTCTTTTCCTTCTCTTGTGTTTCTTGCCTAGAGAAGATCCTTTAGCATTTGTTGTAAAGCTGGTTTGGTGGTGCTGAACTCTCTCAGCTTTTGCTTGTCTGTAAAGGTTTTAATTTCTCCATCAAATCTGAATGAGATCCTTGCTGGCTAGAGTAGTCTTGGCTGCAGGTTTTTCTCCTTCATCACTTTCAGTATGTCCTGCCACTCCCTTCTGGCTTGTAGGGTTTCTGCTGAGAGATCAGCTGTTTACCTTATGGGGATTCCCTTATGTGTTATTTGTTGTTTTTCCCTTGCTGCTTTTAATATGCTTTCTTTGTATTTAATTTTTGACAGTTTGATTAATATGTGTCTTGGCGTATTTCTCCTTGGATTTATCC